TAAACAATGTCAAGCAAGAAACATATGCTAAATGTTTCAATAATTATTCTATCCTAAGAAGTCTAAGTCTTGTATTAGAAATGACTTGGTCAAGTCATGAGAGGAAATTAACTATGATTATCTAATCTTCAATCCCACTGAAAACCTGAAAAGGGAAATAATACTTAAGGAAGCAGAAAGTACAATCAAGCAACTTCCAAAATGTACAATAAATGATGGAGACAGTTGGCTAGCTAGCCAATAACCAAAAGGTTCATTTGCAGCATTGGAGCAACCAACTTTGGCAAAGGCCTAGAGTAACTGATAGACCATTTTCTGAGTCAGGGAAAATTCAAACCCATCCTACCCTATCTTGGCATTCTTTTTGCTTGTATCCTGCTTGTCCTGTCTGGACACTGTGCATTTTGTCAGTGGTTGATGCATAGGCGGTTCTTTGCCAAAGGCCAATTTTGCCAAAAATAAAAAAAAAAAGATCCATGTGGAGTGTCTTTGGTGCTCAATATACTCTTGGGAATAGATAGGTACTACCAAGAACAATCATGCTCATGTCAACAGAACCTTAAGTTATTTAAGTGCCATATTCTACAGTTCTTTGAAGTGGTTGAAGATTACCCATCTATGTAGAATACAATCTCTATGTATCTAAAGAACCTGATTAGTCTAAATATAAGTGTGATAAACATGGATGACTATTGACCTATAATTCTTAATATCTATATAGTTTAAAGAAGAAGACTTCATACTAGAATATTAAACAATATTTAAACAACTGAACAGCAAATGAGGACAATGACCTCAAAATGTAACAATGTATTAAGTATCTTGATTAAAGGTAGAAATGTATACTGCAATGTGATAAATATATCTTAAAACTGTATCAATATACAAAATGTCTTAACTTGAGATAGAAGCATGCATGCATGCATACAATATGACAAAATAACTTTGCATATGTGTATAAATATTGTAAACAGAAATAGTATCATTTTCAATATAACAAATATAATTTGAATTTGTATCAATATACAAGAATCTATACCAATGTAAATTATCTATAAATAACAGCTCACAAGTATTCACTCTATTACTCACTATTATTATTAGTGTAAGCTCACACTGATCTACCTATTATCCCATCAACTTTTCCTTTTTAAAACAAAAAGATATCCCTGAGCATACATAATTTCCACCCCAACCCCAACCCTATACCAGTTATAATCAACCCCTAATTGATGCCCCTAACTCTGAGGGCAAACTTTGTTGAGAGAGGGGACACAGTCTTCTAGAATTGCTTCCAGTTGTCATGGGGGTGATGTTCTTTCTATGGGATCCTGTAAAACTAAAATGATGGCTAAGTTTCAAGATTACTTTCTGGAATAATTGCAAATAGTCTCTGAATATTCATTAGGTTTTCCTATAGTTCTTATTTGAAATTCTGGACAGAACATTGTAATAAGGTACACCATTTCAGATAACCAAGTTGGAATCATTTTGAGCAGCTGGTACCCAAAACAAATCTAAAGTAGTGCTATCAACATCATGACTTCATACCAACTAGGTGGAATCATTGTGGAGTTTTTTCCTGGAAACTTCAAATATTACTGTAGGAAAATTTATTATGGAAAATTTAAACATTATTCATATAGACATAAATTCAAAGAAAGGTATGATAGAGACAAAAATCGGTATGAAGAAAAGTAATTTTTTTTCTAAATTCTTTCTTTTTTCTGAATCATATCAGATGGCTCCTGATATATGAGACAGAAACTCTGAAACTTTTAGCAACATGCTTGGATTTAGAGAAGGATAACTATTGTCCAACTCCAAAGTCAACTTTTATTTTAAAGTAGAAATATATACATGTTCAGAAAATGAAATTTTATTGTGCAGATTATATGGCATCATGAGTTAGATTTCTCTTTACTTGGTGATTCTTTATGGATAGCTATCTTTCCTTCCTTAGGCTTCTAGATGTCCAAAGCCTTTTTATTTAGACAGAAAAGGGGAGATAATATGGGAGGTGATTATATGCTGTAAATATGTTTTATTGCTGTTAGTTAATAAAGAAGTTGTTTTGGGTCAATGGTTTAACAGAGTAAAGCCAGGCAGGACATCTGAACAGAGATTAGACAGAGGGTAAGCAGAGTCAGGGAGATGCCATGTAGCTACCAAAGGAAACAAACACCCAGGAACCTTACTGGCAAACCACAAGCCTCATGGTAAAATAAAAATAATAGAAATGTGTTAATTTAATATGCAAGAGCTAGCTAGAAATATGCTTAAAGTATTGTCCAAACAATATCACAATTAATACAGTTTCTATGTGGTTATTTTGGGTCTGGGCATCTGGGAATGAATAAGCAGCCTCTGCCTACAAGAACTAATTCAAGCTAGTTCACATATCTCAAGCAATTGTTTTGAGTCTCCAAGGCAATTCTTTTCAGATAGATCTTCCCCAGTACAGTCAGTTATCTTCCTAAAGCACTTTAGAGTGTAGGAAGTCAACAACATTATCTCAAAGGAATAAACCAAACTTCTATTTTACTAGAAACTTTAAATGGAACTTCTATTTAAGATTTCATTGGATTTTTTAAAATCTCTACCACACAAAATCAAAAATACCTACTGATGTGTGTGGGAAACACATATCCATTCGAAAAGCAATGTGAGCATGGTTGCAGGTCTGACAACATTTCTCAACATAATTTATGACAATACTTAAAGAAAATATGAGGAAAAAGAAGGGCACTGTGTTGAAAGAGGCCACTTGTTGGTTCCATGCCGCGAAGACCTGAAATAATCACACAAAAACTGTATAATTTAGATCATGCTTGGCCCATTAGCTCTAATTACTTATTGGCTAGCTTTTCCGTCTTAATTTAACCCATTTCCATTCATCTGTGTATCACCATGTGATTGTGGCTTACTGGCAAGATTTGGCATCTGTCTCTGGCAGGGCTACATGGCTTCTCTCTGATCCACCTTTCTTTCTCCCAGCATTCAGTTTAGTTTTCTCCACCTAGCTCTGTTCCCCTATAGCTCTGCTATAGGCCCAAAGCAGTTTCTTTATTCATTAATGGTATTCACAGCATACAGAGGGGAATTCTACATCAACACTGTCATGACCAACACCAGTTCTTAGGTCCGTTAGTTTGCAAATAAAATGGAAAGACAGCAAGATGACCAGTGATGGGATCAGTATTGAAACTCTTACAACAATGGTTATAAAATATAAACAAAGTAATAAATCATGCTGTTTATTTCTCTGGTCTCCAATAAGACATCACTACCGAACGAGGGTTTTTAGAGCAATAGAAATTCTGGTCGGAAAGCTGCAAGACATATGTAGGATTTGGCACTTTTGGAAGTTCAATTCATGCTCTGTCTCTGCCCTGGATCCTGACATTTGCCATCAACTCACAAATGTTCCTTGTCTTAAAGAACTGTCACCCTAATCTCTGCTGCCTCACTATGATACCTAAATGTCATGGTCATGACAGTGGCAGCCATCAGTTTGCTTTTTCCTGGTGCATATGTGTCTTCAATTGTATTTTCTCTAAAATTGTATGTGTTGTGTGTGTGTCTGTCTGTGTGTGTGTGTGTGTGTGTGTGTGTGTGTGTGTGTGAATGTGTGACTAAGGGGGTGCAACAGTACATATATGGAGTTTAGGAGACCACCTTTGGTGTTCATGATCACCATCTGTGTTGTCTGAGATGGGTCTTACGTTGATTGTTGCTGTGATCAAGGATAGTTTGTAAGTGAGCATTTAGAGATTTGTTAACTCCACCCCTCATCTTTCCACAGGAGCACTGGATAGACACCCCTGATACCATGCCCAGCTTCAGGTGGGTTCTGCAATCCAAACTTGGGTCTTTCTTCTTGTGTGTGGGAGCTTTCCCCAGTGTGATACTCCCCTACCTCCACCAATTCTCCTTCTAAGGGTACAGGTCGGTGAGTTTGGTTTACCCTAAACCAATATGACTTCCTCGTCACTAGTCACCTCTGTGAAGGCTCCTTTTGAAGTTCAAATTGTGACTTGGATGGCGGGTACTGCTGCTATTGGACCAGGATGCTCTGCCTAGACTACATGGCACTATCAAAATTTGCTAGACTTGGAATATACAGTGCTGACTAAATTACAAGGTCACAGTGACCTTGCACTTGTCTTCACCATTCATTTACATGTAGGAGGATTAGAGGAATTCAGAAATCCTCATCATGGATCATAATGGGCTCTCAAGCCTCTATTAATTTTCTGAAATTGTATACCTATAGTAATAGACAGTGGCAGGCATACATGCCTTCTTCAAAAAAGAAATATCAGGGTTTCCCCCCTAAATTCCTCCAAAAGTCTTTGAACCAAAATACTAGACACAAATACACCAAATGATTGAGAATTCCACCAGAGTGCTCCTCTATCTGATATTCGATATTTGATACGTGTTGTGAACTCCCAATTACACGATTCATCCAAAGCGTCTGGGTAACAAGTTGAAAATCTAGCCTCTAAGATCATTTTGTTTGGAAATGTTTCTGGCCCATTGATTTTCAATCTGTCTCATTCTACAGGAGCCTCAGGTAGCTCGGATTGCGCTCAGCTCCTGTTTTATGCAATAGCAAATGCAAACGAAACATTAGCTTGGCAAAAACAAGCTAATGTCAATATAAGGAGAAGAAAGAAGCACATTTGAGCGGGTTTACAGCCAGACACGCAGGGTCTGGTATCAAAGGCTTCGGAAGAGCTGGTAGAAGGGAAGAGGTGCAAGAGCAGAGGGCATGCGAAGTCATCTGTGGGATTTACAATTTTAGATTGGGATTCCTGTCGCCTCCTAGTCGGCTCTTTCAGTCACCTGGTGCTAGAGTCCCTCCCCAACAAGTAACAATATATTAGTTGCTGAAAATAATTCCATTCGACGAAGAACACCGTCAGATCATCCAGCCTCGACTGTGTTTTTATAAAGCACACTCAGTCTCTGCTGTTACCTCTGTGAGTACTCACGTGCTAACGGGCGGCTCCCCAGGAACCCTGTGTTCTTAGTTTGAGCAACAGGCCATCTGGCCTCCTCCAATTTTCCTGACCTCTTTATTACGTTTGCCCAGATTTTATTTCTTCATCTGTTTGGAGCTGCTGCACACAAGGAAAGTGGAGGGAAGGTGGGCCACACTCTGTTCATCCACATCGTTTCTTTTCTGTCAGGGAAGAAAGATAGGGTCCAGAGGAGTCATCTTAGCGATACAGATATTTTCTCACCACACACACACACACACACACACACACACACACACACACACACAGAGAGAGAGAGAGAGAGAGAGAGAGAGAGAGAGAGAAAGAGAGAAATGAAAAGGTGATTTTAATTGGAAGTAAGGTTTTCGTCAGTGTAGGTTGAATTTAAAATTAAACCAAAAGTTAAAAGAAGAAATGAAGGAAAGAAAAGTAATTACTTCTTAATAATTTATTATTACGTTTCCTAATTGTTTCAACCTATTTTCTAACTCTATAAATAGGAAGTGTGAAAATATAGCAAGAAATAAAGCAGCCCTGTATTAGATTTTCCCACTCTTGTCTAGGGATGTCCCAGAGGCTCTTTTAAACTTGACAAATAGTCAATAATTTCACTCATACATGCTTGAGCTGATAATACTGAATGTTTTTAGGCTGCTACAAAGAGCTGAGGACAAAAATCTTCAGAAGCCAGTGCTAAGCCTTTCCCAAGAGCAGACATTTTGTCCGGCCTTGCTAAACAACAGTAAACAAAAACACAGTAGGAGACTGATTTAATGGTTATTTTATTCTTTATCGGTCAGGGCAAAGGATAAAAAGCCCTGAGCAAAGTTGGGAATCTTATCTCGATTATATCGTCCAGGAAACGAGCCCCTTGAAATCCTCCCACTCCCCAAAAGTGCCTTTGATATTTTAAGTTTGGGATAGAAATAATGGATAGATGGGGTAAATGTGAGAGAAAGGATCAAACTGTCTCCCATCCAAGGGTGGGAACAAACTCCATCAGAGGTCAGCATGGCCACTGGGGAAGCCTGCTGTCCTTTGCAAGAGTTAGAGTCTGTTGAGGACAGCGGAAAGCTCAATGACAATGTGACTTTAACTATTCTTGATTTGTCATCATATCTTTATAATCAATTTTATTTCCTAGAAAGCTGAAACATAGCCAAACATTTAATGCTTTATATTAAGAAAAGTCTATATTAAAAAGTATATATATTTCCCCCTCAAATTGGGGAATTGGAGAATGTGGTACTTGGATGAAAGTTCTTAAAGAAGAAAACTTAACCAAATGAATCCAGTTTGGTGAGATTGTTCAGCAGCGGAACGTGCTTGTTCACAAACTTCATGGCCTGAGTTCAAATCCTGGGGCCTAGGTTGTCCTTTGGCCCCCCAATAATCATATTGTAGTACTCAAGTGCTCCCCACCATGCTCAGAAACATAAATAATAGTAAAATTGGTTTAAAATTGTGTAGATAATTTGAGTTTAACCTTCCAATAGCGTTTAATTGTCATAAAACTGTGTGAGGATAAATTTGTTGTGCTCATTCATAATCAAGCACTAACATCTACCTTTTTATTCTTCTGTCTCCTCCTCCCCCTCCAAAACGTGTTAGTACCACACATCAGAATTAAGGCCAAGGACTTACATTTTACATAGCCAAGTCTATCCAACTTTAGCAGTCAACCTCTGACAAGCACAAGCTTTAATTATCTTCTCATGCCCTTTCTTTTCGAGCTACAACATCCTCAATAAAAGATAGAATTCACGTGAAAAGCACACAATGATATCATCAAAAGCAGCTGGAAATAAGGCTCAGCAGTTAAAAGAGCACTGGCTGCTCTTCTAGAGGACCCAGGTTCAATTCCCAGCACCAACATGGCAACTCACAACTGTCTATAATTCCTAGATCTTACACCCTCACACAGACATACATGCAGGCAAAACACCATTTAAAAAAATAAAATAAAAATTACTATCAAAAGCACAGGGAGGTTTTCTTCAACTTGAATGTGCAAGTGTCAGTGTTATCACCGTGTTAAAATGCACAATTGATACTATACCACAAGGAAGAGTCTGTGACTAAGGTAAATTTTGATCAAGTTCATAAAACATGTTACATAAAGTAGGAAGTTTTCTGAAAGGTTCTAGAAAAATCCATTGGCAGATTGCTTTAAAAGCAAAGTGATGTGGGAGAATTGTCTGTATCCTGTCAATCATGTTTTAAATAAACGCTGATTGGCCAGGCAGGAGGTGTAGGTGGGAAAACCAGACAGGAAGTGGAAATGATGCAAGGAGAGCAGGAGAATTCTGGGGAGGAGGAAGTTGATTCTCCCAGTCCTGCCCAGGCCACCAAAGCAGCAGGATGTGAGCTGCCCCACTGAAAAAGGTACAGAGCCACATGGCTAAAATAGATCAGATAAATGGGTTAATCAAGATGTAAGAGTTAGCCAGTAAGAAGCCTGACTTAAAGGGCCAATCAGCTTTATAACTTACGGAGTCCTGTGTGGGTGATTTTCTCTAGGACTAAATAATTGTGGGAACCTGGTGGGAGGACAGAAAAACCCACGAACAAGCAGGCCCGACCTCTTCATGTTACAGAAAAGGACCTAAGCCTGTCTAACCTTCACAGAGAATTGGCAATGCAGCTGTTCCTAGGAACCCCAGCTTATTTGTGTGATGGAAAACACAGCAGAAGCTGATGAAACATTTGTTTGGGTCCTTGAAAGGACTTTAAATAGATTTTTGTTTTAAGTAAAGCCCTCTGTGCGACACAGAATTATTCTAAATATCTTCTTTACTTCTCCTGTATGTGTCTATGTTCCGGTCCCTTCCCCTTGTGGATAGTTTTAAACAATACTCCCTCTCCCACCTTGCAGTTTAGTCATTTTTAGTGATATTTCTTCAATTTGTCGTTTTTAAATTTTTACTGCCCTCAGAATGAACTTGGTCATTAGCTATCAACTCTTCCCCAAGGCAATGTATCAATAGGTAAATAAGGACTTAAATCTGAACACCAAGTGGCACCTTAGTGCAGCCTGTGGGCCATGACCCTTTTGGGGTCACATATCAGATATCCTGCATAACAGATATTTACATTAGGATTCATAGTAGTAGCAAAATTATAGGTATGAAGTAGCAAGAAGATAATTTTCTGGTTGCAGGGGTCACCACAACCTGAGGAACTGTATTAAAGGGTCACAGCACTGGGAGAGTTAAGAATCATTGCCTTAGTGCGTGTGACTGTATTCATCAGAATTTATCAGAAAAATCCAGATAACATGGTGGGATTCCGAAACACACGTAATTTGGAATAACTTCTCGGAATGTTTAGGAATGCTTTCAGCAAGTATTTTTCAGTTTTGAACCTATAACAAGTCAGATCTGGCTGTCTCAAAAGCTGAAGCCTTTGTGCCTTCAGATGTGTGGAGAATACATGGCCCCTGCCCTAGTGGAAGCTGCCTGGTACTGCACTGCTCAGAAGACAGAGAATTTAAAACACTTTTGGATACTGCCAGCTGTCCCCTAGGCACAAAACACTCTGGTTGGGAATTGTTTTAAATCAGGCCAGAAAGATTCACTCATTCCCCTTGAAGTGTCATTTTTGTTATTGCTTCAAATTACGCATGGGATTCTTTGCTGTGGTTGCTGAGATAGGTCTCACTATGCCGCTTGGCTGGCTGCAAACTTGTGGGCAGAAATTACCATCATATCTGGCTATTCACTGGCTAGCCTGAGCAATCCATTCCTTTCCATTTATGTTTGAAAGTGTGGTCGCTCTAAAAACGCTGCTTCCTCCTGTCTGGCGATGAGGGCTCAGGACACACCACTTTCCCTAGCAGGATCTCTGACTTCCTGAAGGTCTGGTGTGTCTTCCTTGAGGTCCCAGATAAAAAAAAAAAAGAGTGAGAAAAGGTGGGCCTGTCAAGATATAGTCTCCAAAACTGCACCTCCATAGACCTCCTTCTCTCAATCAGGCCCTATATCCTAATAGCTAGTCAGTATGGACTGAGGAATTAACCCATTAAAAAAAGCCAGTTCCCTTACGGTCCAACCATAATCACTAGCTGGGAGCCAAGGCTTCCCCCTATGAGCTCGGAGCCCTTCCTATCCAAGTCATGGCATTTTTACTTTCCTTCATATGGGATAACTCTAGTATTCCAGATAGAGGCATGGGATAGGTGCGAATCAAAATTTATTAGAGCAAGCCAGAGAAAAAAATTTTTTGTGCAAGCAAGAGAAACTAATACAAAAAATTATTAATAGCCTGCACTCAAAATCTCACAAATTTCTGTTGAGAAAGTCACATATTACTAAATATCTTAGTGGAGTTCAGAAGGCAAAATGAACAACAGACCTGTTCAGATGAAGCCGCTGTTGCTGTAGAAACACAGCAGTGACATGACAGCTTTGAACTGATGCCAATTAAATGTCTATACATGCTTTATATCCATGTAGATAAAACTATACAAAAAATTAGAGATTTATAAAAATAAGTTTTATCATTGTATTTCTCTTGTGGCTTTCCCTGCTACCTAGTATTTACACTTTTAGGTATACAGAGGCCACTTTACTCTCAGACAAAAAGTAAAGAAAGATTATTGATTTTATTTTTTAGCCACAGACCAAAACCTTCCTGGAAAAAAAAACTGCCTCTTTCTAGATTCCTAAATGACATTTTCTTTTACCTTAAATGAAAGACTAAATATTATTACCAAGGCTACTATATCATCAAATATTTGAAGACAGACGGTATCACAGATACCATGTTATCACAAAGTCTGACCCATAAAGCTTGAACAACACACCCCAATTAAACATGCTTCATGTACCTACGTCCCACTGAATGGAACCTCTGAGCTGTTGTTACAGATTACAACAGATCTCCCTCCTCTAGGAACCCCAGTTCTCTCTCTCAGAACCACAATCCTTCTCTTACCATATGGTCCTGCCTCCCTACCACAGCTAAATATTCCCAGGATATGCAGGACCCAAACTTGGAGACAGTACCTTCTAGAGTAATTTGGAATGTATCCAGAAAAAAAAAACCACTCATCTATTACTTCTATAATAGATCATCTTTATGCTTTTATCAATGACATTTCTGTTCCTATGTTGAAATAGCATAAACAAAAACAACTGAAGAAGAGCTTATTCCGGCTCACACTTCCAGGGTGCCTGATGTTCATAACGGTGGGAAGACATGGTGACAAGAGCAGGACACTGAGAGATGACATCTCAGTGGCACACAGGATGAAGAGAAAGTACGCTGGAAGTGGGGTGTGGCTATAAACTCAAAACCTGTTCCCATTTTCTCTTGCAAGTTTCCATGATCTAAAAGTTCCGTAACCTGCCCAAGTAGCACTACCAACCATGACCGAGCATTCAAATGCACGAGCCTATGAAAGATGGCTTTTTCACTTAGCTGCTACAGCAATCATGCTTTCTGCTGCCTACACTTGAGAATTAGCATATCAAAAACTAGTATAATTGTTTTCTATATGTCATTCCAGAGAGCGTGGCTATGGCTGTAGTGTGCCCCACCTTCCACATTTAGCTTCTGCAGAGGTGGTAATATATATATATATATATATATATATATATATATATATATATATTATATGTATATATATGTATATATGTATATATGTCATATATATAGTCATACCACTCTATGACTTAAGTCTTCAATAGCCTTCATATGTGATATAAAAATTCAAATCCAAAATATTATTGATGCATATCATGTCTCTATAAACTCATCTCACACCTTCAAAGACCATATTCTACTAACCCTCTTCATGCTTTTACCGGATCCTCTAAATCACCTATAGACACCTCTTAACTGCTTGGTCACGGTGATCCATTGACCTGAGCCGTTTGATCTCATGTTGCCATTCTTCCTTATATATCCCCTCCTAAGGAACAGACTGGAAAATTCAATATTCCTGTCCTAGCTTGAATATCACCTCCTATAGAAACTTTCTCCCAGTTTGAGTTCCTAACAGTGATTCACCCCTTCGGAGCCCCCCCCACCATGTCAAATCCCAGGAGAGAAACTAATGACTTTCTCTGTGTCCCATCACCGTGCCTGTCCATCAAGGCACCATTAGTTTCTTAATACACTCTTCTAAGTCATGCCTGTCATCCCCTGAGACTGATTTCTGGGAAGGCAATGGCTTTATCCAAAGTCCAAAGTCAAGATAGAAGCCAGTACTGATCTTGTCACTTTAAATACCTTAATCTTACAGATGTCAGAATACACTTGCCCCTTCATGCATCTATCACTCAATTCTACTAACAGGCCAATTCATTTAAAATGCACAATAATGATAATTAAGAAATCATTGGTCATCAATTTGCCCTCAGGCGTTCATAAAATAGATGCTTGAATGGAAATAACTTTTTCATAGGGCCTTTTGTTGTCATGAATGTAAGAAAATAGCTGGTTCCATTAGCAATAATTTCTTTTGAATCAGTTAGCTTCAAAATAGAAATTATGGGAGAAATGTATCAAAAAGATAAACATTAAATATAGTAACCATATAATCAGATCATCCTCTTCTTTGGTTAAAAAGCAAAGCAAAACCAAAGCTTCTTCCTAGGAAAATAGAAATAAAAGGGAATGAAGACCGTTTATTGCTGGGAGCTATAAATAGCTCAGTGTGTTAATGAAATTTTCGTTTTGATTCACCTGGACTCATCTTTTCATCTTATATAGAATCTGTGTAGCATCTTTGACCTAAAGACATGGGAAACTCATATTTCTTTCATTCTTTTTTCTTTTTTGCTCTAGCAAGTCTCCATGTATTCACACCTTGTGTTTGCAAGTGTGATTTGCAATTTTAACACATTTTACTTAGATAATTAAGACTTATTTCAGATTTTTCTCCACATTGTCAGTATTTAGCATTACTAAGGACCACTACTGTGCTGCTATGTGTTATCAGGTTAAAATATGGATTCTTAAGACGTATTATTACCACTCAGTAACCATACTGGGACTTGCTATATCTCTGGTTCCACTGAGCCAAATAATTTGTAGTTTAAGGTATAAAATTCAAGGTAAAATCTAGGCTAAATATTCTTCATTGTTTAAATAATTTATCTGCTTCTTTAAGAGGTCTCCCTATGAAAAAGAAAGACCCATTTAAAGCCTTAGATTTTTTTTTTAAAAAAAAGCATTATCAATGACATCTCTATTTAAATATTTATTGAAAACCAATAGAGGATTTACTGCCTTTAAATAAAACCATCATTTTCTTTCATCCAAGACCACAAGCAAAGGCTCTTGAGTTTAATGCCAGAGATTCAGGAATCTGGACAGATTTCACACTGTTAATTAACCTCACACACTTCCAGGAATCTAATCAAGTTGACCTTTGGGTTACACATAAGCCCATCTTCCCACAGACAGCACAGATCAAGGCTGATAAAGTGGCTCATTAACAGAAAATGACTTCAAATACCTATGCACCACAGAAACTCCTTGACGGTGATAAGCCATTAATGCCCAGTAAATATGTCATTAATAGTGAATTCAAATGACAGCTTCCTCTCAGTAGCATACAAGCACTTTGTCAATGCTTAGGAATATTAATGTGTTCTATATGCTCTCTCTATTCCATAATTAAACCCTAATGCTAATGAACCACTTTTGCTCTTGGTCTCATATGAAATATGCTGCATTATTTGTTGCTCTATGACAAATAATTCCAGAATGCAGTGGATTAAAACATTAAGCATTAATATTCCTCCTATTTCCGTGGGCTAAGTGTTCGTTAACAGTTTAGCTGGTGCTTTGGGACTAGAGCGATTGGTGAACTTATAGTCAATATGCCAACTATAACATCATACAGCTAAAGGCTTGCTTTGGGTCACAATCAGTTCCAAGATTGCTCACTAACATGACTGTTGCCCGGAGAACTCTGTTCCGGTCCACATCGACCTACCCATGGAGCAAAAGGCATAGTCAAGCTGCCAACTGTTTTGATGGCTTCTTTCTTCAAAAGTCAAATTTCTTTGACTTTTGACAAAAGGACAAAATAAAAATACTTTTAAGAGATACAGTTTTAGAATTGATCATTTCTGCCCACAGACTACTCATCGAAACAAGTCATTGGTACAACCCACAATCCGAAGGAACAGAAATGGAATCCACAGTATGAACAGAGGAGTATCCAAGAGTCGTGGGTGGATTTTGACACCACCACATGTGCAAATTTATGATAAAAAGTAGCTATTGGATATGGGGTCCATCAAGAGATACATTAAAAAAACAGAAAAGTAAATGCATGTATTGCTTAGTACGTGAGCTCTATAAAAATATTATCTTTTTTAATAACAGAAGTGATGACATTAATTGAGAAGACAAAGAATTAACATCTTTGGGGTTAGCATTTTATTCGAGCAAGCTTATCAAAGCTTCACAACAAGCTTTGAAAATGAGTGGCAGTGATTTGGAGTTAGTTTGTGAACATTGATCACCAATGTCTCTATATAGTTTCATAAAGCAAGCTTGAAACCAGTCATGTTAAGTACATTTACGTGGTGAAAACAGATAAACTTTGGTGATTTCCTATACAGTTGGTTGGCTCTGAAAATTGAGCATAATGGTTTTTTAATTTTTTTTTAAAAAATTTTGCTAATAAATTTTGTCTTCTCCTAGTGGTCAGAAAACTAGTACATGGGAAGTCCAGACATTAAACCTCATGTTGACAGATAAAGTTGAATTTGTTTAAATATGGATGTGGGTCTGAAAGGGGGTTGTTATACATCATCCAAACAATTCCACTTGTCTCTAGCATAATGCTACAGACTAACCGACTAGCTAGCTAACTGCTTATACATTCAAGGATCAAGAAAAGATTGGTGAAAATATAGAATATTAAAAGCAAATTGCAATTTATAAAATAGAAAAATGAGAAAATATAATTTAAAATAGTGGGGACTTGCATTTTGACAAAGAAGAAATTGCTAATTTGACATCCATTCCTCAAATAAATATTTATTACCTCAGCTCTCAGATAAACAGCCTTGAGAAACCACTCCTAATTTATGCATCTTTACCCTATTTTTATATTTAAACACGCAGATCTCTCTCTCTCTCTCTCTCTCTCTCTCTCTCTCTGTCGCACACACACACAGAGAGAGAGAGGGAGAGAGAGAGAGAGAGAGAGAGAGAGAGAATTAACTCTGTGTAGACAACCAGTAAACACAAATGCATACATCTTGCAAAATGAATGCTATGAATTCTTGCCACACGTAGAGGACAGAGAAATGATAATGAAATAGATTTCCTGGAGCAACCACTTTTCAACAATAATCCTAACATCCCCCAAATGATCACATTCACAGATAATAAGAAGATATTGTGCCAGAGACTACAAACATGTGCGTTAAGACACATGCACTGTGTTAGGGATGAAAACGTGACAGCTAGGTTACCATGGAGACAGAAGCAAAGACACCAGCTACTAACTCTGAATACCAATTAACAACTAGCACTTCTTTATGTTACCAAAATTGGTTTCCAGGGCAACTCAAAGGATTGGCTCAGGTTGTCAAATTAATTACACACCAAATCCAAGAATGTCACATTCCTCAGAATTTTATGGAACTTAAAGAAATTATTTATGAAATTCACACAACCTTCAGTGTGGTATTTATAATTTGTCTGTGATTTCTCCTTTGTTATTTCCCCCTTTATTTCTTTCAAAATTTAGCTTAGGCAGAAAACAAGATGTATTTCTTAATATTTTCATTTGTGTGTCTAGCAAAAGAAAACAAATAAAATCATAATTCACGTTTTTCATGCATGTAATAGACATAGACAAGTTATTAGACTTTTATCTATCATGTATCTGTAACCTATTGTCTGTCTGTCTATCTATCTATCTATCTATCTATCTATCTATCTATCTATTTATCTATCTATCTACCTACCTATCTTAAATACACACACACACACACACACACACACACACACACACACACACACACACAGTAGTTGGTTCCTGGGTAGTTAAAATTACACCAACCAACTACACTACCTAATGATGTCTTGCATGTTACAATATCTCATTAAGGTCACAACTTCTGATTATATATGTATAAACCACTTCTTTCTAAGAATCAGGAGTTGAACTGACAGTTTGCTCGGGGCAAGAGTCACTCTGAAGCTTCACTGGCTCTTTGAGAGTCTGCAATGTAGGTACAGTAAAGCTAAAAACATAAGAATGAACCTTGTCATCTAAACCCAGTTCCTGCTACTCAAGAGCCATGGAGCTTGCTCGGTCCCCTATCTCTTCTAACTCTAGTTCATTGTTTTCATTTTGTTGAGGTTTCTTACTACACATTTGAGTATTTCTCACCACCCCTCCACTGTTACTCTGTCAACTTATTTGCCAATGACTTATCGCTACCAGTCAGAATCATCCTAATAAAATATAAATCAGTTCTTAGAACTGTAGTCAAATTAAATAAAATTTATTTAATTTTATTTAAATAAAATTGACTCCCTCAAGGGGACTTAGCACATTCCCAAACTTGGAATGAGCATTCACTCATGAGACTATGCTTTGTTGAGTTCTTAATGCATACCTGGTACTAGGGATTTCGCAATGAACAGTATGGAGAAATAGCCCTCACTTTTGTGGAGGTACCTTTATCATACAAAGTCTATTGATTACATTAAGTGCCAAGAGGAGAACTGAATTAATGGAAAATAGAAAAGGAGAGTGACTGGGACGATTAGACATTTATGGGGTGGGAAAGACCTAATTGCAAAGGTTACTTTGATCTAAAGATAAGACAAAGGAAAAAACACAGTATGCAAGCCTATGAGAAAGATCACCCAGCTGAGAGTTCTCCAAGGCCAAAGGCATCCTTCCGAGGAGGGGCTGCTGTTTGTGCAAAGGGTGACTCTGATGAGTGGCAGGTCTGTCTGAGGCTGGGGCGTTGTGGAGCGTAGCACAGTCTCTGGTTCTTGCTGTTAGAGTGGGGAGCCACCAAAAATCACAGGCATTTTGTTTGAATCCTTCTGACTACTGATAAAAAATTGGGAAGGGTGTTGGAATTGCCCATGGCAGACAGCCTGGCTGTGTGTAGCAAGAGGCCAATCATGGTGAAATTAGATATGATCGGAAGCTAAAGAAGAACTTTGGGAGAAGCAGCTGCTTTACGGTGTTCTCCCTTGAAGCTGGATTAATCTCGAGTTTTAATGAACTAGTCGCTGCTTGGGACTAGCCAGTTCATGTCATCAAACTGTGGGTTTTTTTTTATGGTAGTGATTTGCAACATTCTGATTGGTAATAAATCATTTCCTGCTCTTCTGCCTTTCTTTTAACGTGACCATTATTTCCCCATAATGCTGTAAAAATTAAATGGGTAATATGAAAGCTACATAAATATTTGATTGAAAGCTATGAATCAAAAATCACCCTTCTAATGGAGAATTGCTTTTCCTACAAGGAAAATGGCAAAGTGGTAATATTTGAATTAGGATGGCGGAAAGTCAATGAATACAGTGTGTTGCTCTTGGCCAGCCCATTAATAGAGCTTGATGTGTCCATGCTATTGTCCCTGCAAATAAATCTCTGAATGTGCATATGATTATAAAGTTACTGTGGAGGACTTTTCTTATTTCCCAAAGAATTGCTTTCAGGATACTACAACTCCTCATGAGAAATAATGAGAATGTTCTCTGCTGCCTTTGCTAAGAGAAAAAGCATTTTCTAATGTAATAGCCTTGAGCTTTTAACTGAAAGCCCTCAGCTATTTCCTGAAACTGAAGTAAATCCTTCTCGAGTCTGAGAACGCATCACATTCCACTTGCACACTGATTTCAAAATGGTAAAAAGAAGTAAGACAAACTCGGGTAATGATTAAAGAGAAGCTGAGGTTTTCCTCTGTCTTAGCTATGAAGATTAAATGACCAACATGACTTTTGATCATAGTCATAATAGCAGTAATTAATTGAACCATGGGATTTATTTGTGTCCGAAGTCTAATAAACAATACATGATGGTTGTAAGAATCTCATGATCTCCTTGGCATCACCCACAGTTTATAATACGGACACAGACTCAGAAATATACTCAAGGTGACTCGGTTTGTAGGTGAGCAACTGCAAGTAGGTTGCTAAGGCCTGGATTCAGAGTCTGTCCACATGGAACGCGCTCCACTGCCTATCAGTATATAAACCAGAGCCATGTTTTGAACTACTACTCCATATTTTTTCACAGACTTTCCCCCTTCACTCCTAGATGTTTCCTCACCCTTGCAACTAAAGCTAGAAGTGACTTTTGCATTGCAAAAGCCCAAACCTTTACAGACACATACAATGCATTGCTAAGAGGTTAAAATGACTAGAAAAGATTGGAAAGTGGGGTTGCAAGTGTGGTAAGAATGGCTTCCTTCAAAGAAATAGTGCTAATCTCCATGCGTCAAAAGATGCTTCTCTGTATCCTTTGGAGAACCCAAGATGGTGGCAATGTGAGCTTGGCTCTCTCTTATCTCCACCAACAGGGAAGACCTCAATGTGAAAAGACTGTCTTCTACATCAAAGCTGACTGGAAGAGAGTGGGAATGAAGGATGATAACATTCTTGAAGGGAGTGTGGTCTAAAAGTCCTGTTAGTCTGGTAGGATTATGGCTGCAAAACAAACAGCAAACAAACCAAGAACACAACTCAAGTCCTCAAAAAGAAGGAGTTATATTTCTTACAAACTTGAGCTGAGTGAGGCCTCAGCCCCATGGCCATGAGTTGAACACTGTGGACTAGATGTCTGCCTAATACTCAAAAGGAAAATAACCATTACCCGTGAAAGTATCCTTCCCCATGCCGCAGATAGCATGTCCCTGTACTTTTTGAAATGCTTGAATTCATCATGATCATAATCAAAATTTAGAATATAAGCCCCAAATATAGATATTTCTCTTGTTAAATGAGGATTGTGTTTCCATAGACAAACTGGGTGGATGGATAGAATTTTAGCCCCATGCTGTGTTGTGTGACAT